GATTGGCCACGGCCGAGATGTATCGGCCACACCCCAGATTGGCCACGGCCGAGATGTCTCGGCCACACCCCAGATTGGCCACGGCCGAGATGTATCGGCCAAACCCCGGCCGTGGCCTGACTTTTCTTTTTCTTTTTCTTTTTTTTTCAGCTGCAGCATGGCGCGGCGTCGTGCGACCGACAAAAAAAAAAAAAAAAAAAATCCTTGCAGCCGCGACGCCGCGCGACCGAAGAGGGGGGAAAAAAAAAGGAAAAGAACAAAAAAACACAACCGCCTTTTCGAACTCCGCCCTGACACCACTGCCGGCCTTGAGTTACAAACGCCTTTTCGAACTCAGGCCCCCGACAGAGACGCCGAAGGCTGTTTTTTGCGCCCATTACAAACTCCCATGTGACATAAACATACTTCCCCCTTAATTTTATCTTTGTCAGGTCTTATGTCATGTCAGAGTAGATTTGATGTTCGTTAGGTTGTAGTAGAATTTCAGAGTAGATGTTATCTTTGTTGTTAGGTTGTATTTTAGAGTAGATGTGATCTTTGTTAGGGTGTAGTAGAAGTTGAGAGAAGGTTTTATCTTTGTTAGGTTGTAGGACAGATTGTTGCTAGAGTGGTTGTTGTTTTGAAACTCCTACGGTGGTGAGGGTCACAGCCTGAGGGTGAGCGGTGGCCAGTAGACCCCTGAAGATGCAGACCTGTTGTACTTCATTCTTGCCTTGGGCACTACTAAGTAGGCCCGTAATGATGTACTTTCGACCTCTACTTTGCCATAGTTATTACTCCAAATTCTCTACAAGCGGAGGCCAACCACGGTGCACAAACAGGGAAAGAGGTTGAAAGGCTTGGGGAACGTGGCCCTTGTACCGTTCAGAATTTGAACTGAAGGCGTGTTTATGAACATCTGAATTGCAATTGTGGAAAGGAAAGTATGAAACCTAACTTGTTCGACTTTTATATCTTCGAGGGAAGTCCTCTTCGACCCTTTGGGATTTGATCTCATGACCTGCACACCTTTGAATCTTAATGATGCCACTGAGGGAAGACCTCCTTTGTTTTGCAATTCAGGAGTTGAACTCATGACCTGTTTGTCAACCTCAAGATTTGTGTACCATTCGGGACTTGAACTCACGGAGTCTCTCCCAAAACCGTCTTACTGTTATATGAGACTCCACTTTTAATTAGGGTTTGATCTCGTCGATGCCACTAGACTAGAGTCTGTCCTCTTGTTTTTACAGTTCAGGAATTGAACTTGTGACCTGTTTGTTGACATCTTTTTGTATGTATCATTCTGGATTTGAGCTCGCTGTCTCTCTCCCAAAACCATCCATCGGCATGAGAGATGCCATTCTTCGTTAAAAAGGGTCTATAGAAACTCAAATGACCTTCCATGAGGGTTGTTGGGTTTTGGGTTCCTTAACTCAATGCCTCTCTTGTGGCTGCCCCACACTCTTCTGTATCGGAAAGTTTAAACTTTGACATCACTTCTGTCTGGGAAGACTCCTCTCTTGAACCGCCGGTACGCGGCCCCAGCCTTGTGGAGAAATCGTTCGTCACCGACAGAAATTTTGGAGCCTCGGGCATACCGGATCACAATGGCTGGCGGCGTCAGCCAAAAAGGAGAAAGGTCACCGCTGGTGGTTTGGAAAAGCTTGGCGCTCAGTGGAAGGCCGCCAGGCCTGGCTCTACCAATGGTTTAAGAGAAAGGTAATGTAATAACAACTGTGTTTTATCAGACCTAGGAGAGTTTCTTGGTGAAGACATTCTAGACTAGATGCCTCTTGAATCGAAATCAGTTATCTCCAATCCAGAACCTGCTAACTAAGTGTTGTTTTTCCTGGTTGGTGCTGCAGCTAGAAGTTGTGCTTAATGTGCTGTCTGGTGAGGATACAGAGAAGGATCGCATGGATGCGCTTGTGAACATTGCCATGTACTTGCAGGTAAATGACACTGAAAAGATGGGCAAAGAAGCGGTGTCATGTGGAAGTATTCAATTGGAAAAAAAATGATCAGCATGTGTTGCATTTGTGGGGAAGAATGCGGATGGAATAGCAAGAGTGGCAAACATGGTGTGCAATGTAGAATCAAGATTGTAGAGTCCATAGCAGCCCTCAACTTCTACTGCATCCCTTGAAAGTTAAAACTGAGATTTTGTTATCCGCACTAGTTTTTGAATTTGGGCCAGATCACCAGATGTGAAATCGGGTTCCTTGAGTCTCTTACTGATCATAGGATGTTCACCGAGGAGAGTCAGGAGATCGGACAGGAGTGAATACGGATGTATGTTCATGTGTAAGCCTGTAGCGTATAGCACATATATTGTCAAACGAAGCTGCCCAGTAAACCGTAGGCAGAGAGGTAGAAGAGGACAACAAACGAGGGGCCGTGACAAACTTTTCGTTAGAGTTTATGCATACGTGTGCACTGTGCATGCATAATAGTATATACTATATATAAAAGTGCATATACATGCAAAAGGTTCATAAGTGCAGATTGGAAGGACTTCGTCTCCCAGATCTATGACATCAAGCTCAACATGATGTCTGGTCGACATCCCGAAGCCAATTGTCCCTGATCAGAACTCTTGGGATCCAACCAGACTGTGATCAGACCTCTGAGCTCTAATTGTGCCTTATCAGAACTCTTGGGATGAGGAATTGCCGATTGTGCAAGGGTTGTACAACAACTCCATACACTCTCCACCGGGATGACACCTAACCGGCTGCACCTTGGGTGGAAAATCCGCAATCCCCTATCTTATCTGTTCCCTGAACAGCCACCTGGCCTGACACCTGGACAGCCAGGCTACAGCGCTAAGTTTGATCGTTTGCTTAGAGTTGCTGTCGCAGCTGTGGAAAAGCGACGCAGTGCCATGATTAAGCATGCAAACAAAAAGCGCCAGCCTGGCCCTTTCACAGTGGGAAGTTATGTCTGGGTCAAGATAAGTTTTCTGAAGAAGGTGTATCACGAAAGCTTCTTCCTCAGTACTACGGTCCGTGGAAAGTGCTGAACCAAGTAGGGAATGATTCATTTGGTCCTTCTTACACGATCGACGTGCCTCCTCATCTGCGCACGTACCCAATCTTTCATGCATATAAGTTGTTTCCGTATGAACCACCCAAAACTTTTCCGTATCGAGAATCAATGATTCCTCGTGCAATCAATGGCGGTCACGAGATTGAAAGAATTGTCGAGCACAGTGGGAAGGGGAGAAACAGACAATACAAAGTCAACTTCCTATATCATCCATTGAATGACTTTTACTGGATTGCTAAGAAAGATTTGCTGCAGAGTGCCCCACAAGTTGTCAACGCATATGAATGATTGATTAGTTCCGAACAGCAGCCTAAATTCACTGCTACCCTCACTCCTACGGAACATACCCGATCTCTCTTTGCTATTTACGCTTATGATGCATTATGCAAGGACTCTGATTGAGTTACTCGCTCGAAGGGACCTCGCTCTTGAGGGGGGGGGGTAGTGTAATGACTTATCATAACACAGACTGAGAACACTGCTGATTTCTGAAGTTCTGTCGATGGAATGGATGCCTTGCTGAGATTCCCGTATTCTGCTGTGTTTTCTAAGTCTGTATGTGTGTGTGCCTGTCTGAGTGCTTGTTGGCATGAGTGCGTGTGTGACCTGCAAGGGTACTTGCTTATTTGGTAGGCCCATAGGGCCGGTACTTACCTGTGGCTGTGACATTGAGCGGAAAAAACACTCAAGTAGCAGGTAGGCCGGTACCGCACCCAGTAGCAGTAGATGTGCCGGGTACTCGAGGCCGAGCTGAAGAAGACAAAGTTGGCATTTTTAGAGGCCCCGTAGCGGTAGGCTAGGTCTAGGCCGGTACCAGTTCATCCAGTCTGAGTCTAGAGCCTGTATGGGGAATATCAGAGTGTGCAATGATGTTTCCCTCCGAAAGGGAGGAGGTACCTGTTGCTTGGGAGGCCGAGTGGCCTGGAAGTCACCACCCAGGAGCAAGCAGGCCGCTATATCAAGAGGCCGAGGCAAGAGCTCGGCCTCATTCTTCAGTGTGCAAGTTTGGCGACACGCTGCTGGAGTAGCGCTGACCACTACAGCGCTGCTGGGAGGAAGAAGCCGGTAGCTTCCGCCTTGGCTATGGTGGAGCTCTACTGGTAGGAGGAGGAGGGAGAAGGGGACCAAGGAGGAGAGTGGTGAGGTAGACACCATCTTCGTCACCTTGTTAGGCTCTGCATCTGGAAGGCCCCAGTGGGGGTAGTGCCGCATCAAGGAAGCTCGGGACAGAGTCAGGCATGGCGGTTGAGTGGGCAGTGGCATAGCTGCATGGTGTTGACSTTGGGACAGAAGGGCAGCGACATAGCTGCTTTGAGTTGTCCTTTGGACAGGAGGGAGAGCCTCAGTGCTCCGCCATAGCCTCGGCCTGTAAGTAGAGGAAGAGGAAGGGTGGCCATGGCTATGGTGGACCTCATGTTGTGCCTGCAGTAGAAGTGGGATTCGGACATTGATTCTGGTTCAGCCATTCAACATTATTGTTATTTCATGTTTGAATAAGAGGGGAGGAGATGAGGAGATTGGTTGGCGAAGAAGAAGAGCCTTGTCATTGGTCTATGCTGGAGTACATCATTTTCTTCTTTCTTACTTCTTCTTCTTCTTTCCCTCTCTCTCCTCTCAAGTTCATTCATTTCTTTTGGCAATTGGACGACATTGTACTTTCTGACAATGTATACTTCGAAATTGGCCAGGATCGTAACACTCTTTTCCTTTGCCCTTTTCCATCAACAATTTGCCATGCAGCGTTCTTTGTGACTCTACGTATGTGCTGTCACTAAGAATCTCCCACCGAGCTGTAGGTAGTAAAGGAGGGAGGGAAAAATGAAAAAACTGATGGCTACCATTGAGCTGTAGGTAGTAAAGGAGGGAGGGAAAAATGAAAAAACTGATGGCTGCAACGGATTGTGTCATTAGACTTTCACTCTTCATTAGTAGGCTGAACCTGATGACATCCCTTAGTTGTGCAATGGCTGCGCTACATCTGCTCCAGTTCCGAAATGCTGGAGCCGTACTTGGTCGCAAAACTGTTGCCCCCTACAAGGACCTCCACTGCTTTCTCCCCTGTTGGAGGTTCACCTTCCATCAAGTGGAGGGAAATTCACAATTCAGCCTGTGAGAGAGGAAATTCACAATTCAGTGAATTCACCCTCTGTTCTCTGTGCAGGGAGGAAATCCACAATTCACCCTCTGTCCTCTGAGCAGGGAGGAAATTCACAATTCTCCCTCTGTTCTCTGCGCAGGGAGGTAATTCACAATTCACCATCTGTCCTCTGTGCAGGGAGGTAATTAACAATTCACCCTCTGTCCTCTGCGCAGGGAGGTAAT